GAAAGAGTGGTGGCTGGCATGTGGGGCAGGTGCAGCTAGAAGATGGCGGCATCCGGTTGAGGCGGTAGAGGTGCACGGGGATGAACGACATACATGAAAATAGGTTTTGTTTATTTGTATGGTTTTAGTAGAGGAACCAAAAGCCGATTAAACTCTGATACCAATTGATGTAAGACTATATTAGGTTAAAAGGAAAGGAAAGAAAGAAGAGGTAGAATTTAGATAGAAAAGAGAAAGTCAAGAAGAGAAAGAACCACAAGATAGAGAAGAACAACCATATAAAAATATTACCAGATGAGAGAAATAGAGTATTAAAGAGAAGAACAAGAATTCAAATGGATGAAACCAGAAACTCAATATTCGTAGTCAATTATCAACTCTCAAAATTTTTTTGATGCCCAGAACTCCCCGAAACCCACTTTGTGAGGCCAAGTTAGAAACTGGAGCCTTCCGCTAAACCCTACAATTTTCGAAAGGCAGGTAGACTTTTGTCATGTAGGTGCCCATGAGGTGGTTCGAACCCATTATCAACCCTCAAAATAAACAAAATAAACATAGCATAAGTGCCCTATTTATAGAAGCCAAATCCTAAAACAAATCTAATTCTTAAAATTTTAAATATTCCAAAGAGATAAACATAATCTCAAATCTCAAATAAATTCTAAAAGACAAGCATAACTTTAAATTTAAAATTAAAATTGACTAAATCTCAAAGTTGACTAAATTATGAACAACTCTCTTCAGTGTTGAGGCCATGTTACGATTTCGTAACTAAAAATTCTGATGTGCAACTTTTCCTATTGGTTAAGCCTCATTATGGGTTTCGTCTGACAAAGTTTTCAAGGGTTTTCCTTTTTCTTTGGTAGTTTTGAATTGGAGAGATGTAATAGGCAATTAATTGAATGCTTTTGTTTTGTTTTTGCTTTGTTTTTTGCCTAGTAAGGATATGTTATCCCCTTTTTTGCATCTGATTTTCATTAATGAATCGTTTTTCTTATCAAGAAAAAGAGTTGATGCCAAGTGGCCTTTTTACTTGTTAATTATGTAGAAGGTGAGAATCATGGTCAAAAGATTGCTGCAGCCACATACCTTAAGAACTTCACGAGGCGAAATGTTGATGATGATGGTGCTCCGCATTTGAAAATCAGCAAGGAGTTCAAGGACCAGCTCCTGCGTGCTTTGCTACAAGTCGAGCCAGCAGTGCTGAAAGTTTTGATCGAAGTGGTACGCTCTTTTTGATGGCCATTTCTTGTTTCATGCGCATATAGAATTTGCTTCATCATCATAGCTTAATATTTTCTGTAATGCTGTTATGTGTTTCCAGTTCCAAATTATTGTATCAGTTGAGGTTGTTAAGAAGAATTCCTGGCCGGAACTCGTCCCTGACCTGAAATATGCTATCCAAAATAGTCATCTTTTTAACATTGGTGCAGAGTCTCAATGGAATACCTTCAATTCCCTCACGGTTCTTCATGCACTTCTTAGGCCTTTCCAGGTACTGCACTTCTTGTCTTTCTATGGAAGATCTAAGTTGTTTTTGGTTGAAAGACAGAAAGAGTATTGAAGGCGTGTATTTAGGAAATCCGTCACTGTAGTTTTCAAATAACACTAAAGATAATCTCAGACAGACCTCACATTTCAGCTTACGATTTACCAAATTATTTGTTGTAACAACTCCTCCTAGGCTCTTACGAATATGTTTAGTAATCATATCTGAATTCTTGTTTGAAGAAAATTTTGTTAGGCTGATATAGTATTATATCTGACATGATATTGTTCAGTGGTCTCTCATTCGGTTCGTGCTTACATTTCATGGCAGTACTTTTTGGATCCTAAAGTTGCCAAGGAGCCTGTACCAATGCAGCTGGACTTAATTGCAAAAGAAATCCTTGTGCCCTTGTTTGCTGTATTTCATCAATACGTTGAAAAGGTTGTCATTTCTCTTTCTCACATTGTACCAGCTCCTCTCTTACTACTGACATTCATATGGGTTTTGTACTCTTTCAAACAGGTTTCTAAAACCAATAGTACAGGAGAATTGGAAATAGAGAAGACGCTTCTTCTTGTATGCAAATGCATATACTTTGCTGTAAGTAACGCTACTTTCTCTCTCCTCTCTCAATCCTGATTGGGAAGGCATGTAAATATTCACAAGTTCCCAGCTATACGTGTGATATCTTACTGATTAAGTCATAATTAGTATCAACAACTGACCACAGTTCTAGCCTAGCTGGACAATCTATGTGACACGTACAGATATGTTGCAAGCATCATAAAAGGGAAGTAATGTAGGGTCCTTGCAAAAGGAACTAAATTAGAAACAAGTACCGAAAGTGGTTATTATCGATTATGCTATAAGTTTATTCTGAAATATATGCACTTCTGTTAACCATTTAGGTAAGTTGCTTACACTTAATTACACTATTTCAGAATGCAGCTTGTTAGTTAACAATTCTCCCAAAAGCTTAAGCTATTAGGAGGTGGGTAACCTTATTTTTAATATTCTAACACTCTCCCTCAATTATTAGCTAAACAATGGGAATTATTGGGGCAAATATCAATTTGACAGGTCCAATATACGAATATTGAGGTATAAGCCTAAAAACATGTTAAAGACCTGATACATGTGACAATTTTTGGAGGGCTTGAAGTTAGAACCCTCTTCTCTTATACTATATTAATCTACTGGTACTCCCAAAAGCTTAAGCTTATAGAAGGTGGGCTAATATTAGTTTTGATGGTGTTGGTCTGAGTTCATGATTGCTAAATGTTGATTATTTTCTATGAACTGAAGGCAATGGCTGCTTTTAGATCCCCTCTCTTTAACCTTTTTTTTAAGGGATAAAATCATTTTGGTACCCTTTAGTACAACGAAACATCTCACGGGTACCTTATCTTTTTAATAATATGTCCCTATTTTTGGCACCTCAAATGTCAATTGTGCCCTTACTACTATTTTTTCATTAAATGGGTCGAAATAAGATTATAATTCGGAAAAAAAAAAACCAGTAAACCTGTAACCAAACAGCCCCAATATTATTCAAAAAAAAAAAAAAGCGATATCATTTTTTGTGATGCAGGATCCTTTGAACAGATTCCATGGCCCAAAAAAAAAAAAGAGAACTTTGTGGGTTTCTTTTTTTTTGTTTTTGTTTTCTCTTCTAAAAAATGGGCTGAAGTTGATCGTAGCGAGCCCAAAATTAGTGTAAATACGGTTACTTTTTGTATTATTAATTTTTCTTTGAATTATAATGCTATTTCGACCCATTTATTGAAAAAATAGTGGTAAGAACACAATTGACATTTTAGGTACTAAAAATTGGGTTTAGGGTACCAAAAAAAACCTTTTTTTTGAATCTTGGAGGTACCATTTTAATATTATTAAAAAATAGGATACGCATGAGATCTTTCCTTATACTAGAGACAAAATGATTTTATCGTTTTTTTTTTCAGATGGAAAATTATGCTACAACTGTGGTAGAACTCTCTGATGCTTGTTATTAGTTTTTTTTTTTTTTTTTTTCTTTTTTCTTTCCTGTTTCTCTTTCCCCCCTTATGCTTCTGGGGTGGTTGTTGAAGTACTGCTGCTTTCGTAGGTGAGGTCTCATATGCCATCTGCTTTAGCTCCTCTTCTGCCCACCTTGTGCCGTGATCTAATTGACATTCTTGGTTCTCTGATTTTGGATTCTGTGGTTACCACTGGAAATGAGCACTTGATGAGGCTAAAGACTGGGAAGAGAAGTTTGCAAATTTTTTGTGCTCTAGTTACTCGGCACCGGAAGTATTCTGACAAGTAGTACATGCAGTTTGATGTATGCCTTCCTTGAATTAAAATTGTTCTTCTTTTTGCTCATGTTTTCTCTTCTCTTCTGTTTTCAGGTTAATGCCGGACATGATAAACAGTGCATTAAGCATAGTCAAATATAGTAAAAGTGCCGGTGTAAGTCTTAATTGCATTTGTTAAGTGACTTTTGTTTGAGGTCAACAGGCACTATTGTTATATGAAAGTCTCTTTAAGTTATAATTTGAGATATATTGGGTAGCTCTTTGGGTTCACGGGAAGAACGAGTTTGGGAGCTTTTCTTTGTCTGACTTGGTTTGAACTGGGCTCCTTTTTGTAAGAAATAGGGTGCTGTTTTGCTTTTTTTTTTTAATTTTTTTTTTCACAGTATTTTTTTAGAGGAAAGCTCTTATCTTTTGTTAGTTGCTTCCATAATTGGTGTTGTTGTCACAATTGTTAGGTATTTGAAATATTTTGGACTCCTCTCACTCTGTATGATTTTTATTCTACTATCCTCGTTCACATTAAAGGAGGAGATCTAATTTGTTTCTCTGGGGTCATACTAGATTCTGAACAGTGTGATTGTGTATGCAGAAGCTTGAGTTTTTATCAGAGAGGATTGTTTCATTAGGTTTCGATGTGATTTCACGTGTTCTGGAGACAGGCCCTGTAAGTTATTTAATTCAAAACTTTTAATATACAGAATGATAATATCTGAATATTACTTGAATTTGTTTGTTTCTTAATTTTTTTTAAGTGAAAATTAATGAACATAAATGGTTGGTCATAAAAGTCCAAATTATTTTGTGGATGCGGATCCATTGGTTGGACAGAATGCACAGTATTTTCTCTCTGCTCATTTTCATTTGGAAACAGGGATGGAGGTTGGTTTCACCCTATTTTTCATCACTGTTGGATTCTGCGATTTTTCCAGCGCTGGTAATGAATGAAAAGGTAAATATTCTAAAAGAAAATGAATGTGATACCTGTTCATCAGTTGATCAAAATTTCTCAAGTTATTAATTTCCTGTACTCAATGTCAAATGCCTGTAACAGGATATCTCAGAGTGGGAAGAAGATGCAGATGAGTTCATAAGGAAGAATCTTCCATCTGACATTGTATGCAAGTTAATGCTGATTTGATATGGAATTCATTCACTATTAATTGGGGATTATTTTAACATCTGTTTTGTATACAGGACGAAGTGTCTGGATGGAGGGAGGATCTGTTTACAGCCAGAAAAAGTGCAATTAATTTACTTGGTGTTATTTCATTGTCAAAGGTTTCTCCTTTGTCGTGTTTCTCAATATATCTATGGCCATATACTATTGTACTGTTTTTCACTGGGTTTAGTGCGCATAGGGTCCTCCAATGGGAACATCTAGCAATGGTTCCTTAGCTTCATCGAAACGGAAAAAAGGTGAAAAGAACAAGGGTAATAGTCGACGGTGCTCCATTGGAGAACTCTTGGTTCTTCCATTTCTCTCAAAGTTTCCTATTCCATTTGAAGCTATTGGAACTGAAACTGAAATTTTGAGCAAGTGAGTTGAAAAGATGTTTTTTGGTTTTGGATAATTTGATATTAATTTATGTTTTCTTGTAAAACTGGAAATTATAAACAGCTGATCTCCACTGAAACAATGTGATATTGGGATCAATTTTCCATGCCAAAAAGTTTCTCGGAATGATCAGATAATCTGATAATGAAACTGCTCCCTTGAATGTTGCAGTCACTGTATTTTTCATGTGTTCTTCTAATCTCCTATCTTACTGTGGCTTCCGTAACAGTTATTTCGGTGTTCTAATGGGATATGGTGGCCTGCTAGATGTAAGGATTTATCAACCTGTTGATTCAGTCTCTGGTGAAATACGTTTCAATTTTAATCTTTGTTGCATATCTGGTATCACACCTTGCAGTTTCTCAGGGAGCAAGAGCCTAGATATACTACAACTCTGGTTAAGACAAGGCTACTACCCTTGTATAAATCGTCAGTGTGCCTACCATACTTAATTGCTCCTGCGAACTGGGTACTTGGAGAGTTAGCTTCCTGTCTGCCTGAAGTAAGATACTTTATTTTGAAATTTGAACATATGGATATCTAATCATCTTAGTCGTTCCTTTCATGCAAAATAAGCAGTTTAGGAATTCACTTTCTATATATCATATTTGCTTGCTGCATTTTCTTATTTGTTTACAGTATACACTCTTGGAAACTGATTTTTTTGTCTCAGATAATCTAGGAAATACTTTTTTATCTCATTTACAGGAGATGAGTGCAGATGTATACTCTTCGTTGCTCAGCGCGTTGATTATGCCAGATAATGGGGATACTTCTTGTTACCCTGTCCGTGTTTCTGCTGCTGGGGCAATTGCAGAGCTTCTTGAAGTACGTCTGAAAACCTATCCTTTTGTTTTTTGATCGGCAAAACCAATCCTTTTGTTGAACCCTAGTAACCTATACTAATGTTATTATTCTTATAACCTGGTATTTTGTTTTCTGGCTACAGAATGATTACATGCCACCTGATTGGCTTCCTCTTCTTCAAGCTGTGATTGGTAGGATTGGTATTGATGATGAAGATAGCTCCGTATTGTTTCAGCTTCTCAGTTCTATTGTGGAGGCAGGAAATGAAAATGTTGCAGTTCATATCCCATCTATTGCTTCGTCATTGGTTGCTGCAATTTCTAAGTGTATACCTGCTAATCTGGAGCCTTGGCCACAAGTATGCATATCTCTACAAGGCGCTCGCAGTTTTTTTTTTTTTTTTTTTTTTTTTTTAAGTAGGCCCATTATTTATTCAAAAAAAAAAAAAAAGATTTCATAACATGTTAGCCAAATAGGTTTTGACCTTTCCACTGCCTAAAAGATGGAGTACTATAAGATGCCTTGTTAGGTATCTGCCCTAACACAGCCAAACAGCCCTAAAACAAGTCTCAAATCCAACTTTTCAAGAGCAAATTAAAGGAAATGGAATCGGAGGTATTTTATTGATCAGCACACCAAACCAGCACACAAACACAGCCAGAAACAAGGAAATTAAACGGATAGTCTGGAGTTTAAACACGGTGGTATTCGAGAGACCACCAACTCTCCCAAGTGTTTCCCAAATTCCACACAAGTCTAATCACAACCCTCTCCAGCCCTAAACCCCCTATTTATATTACTAAAAGACTATTGAAATAATAGAAACAACTAACAAAACCATAGAACTAACTAGCTATTAGGTCCCTAACATGCCTGAATAAAAATTTTGGCTCATCAACTTTTGAGTGAAAAACATAACACGAATTACTTGCCAGTTGCATTCTGCTATGTCAAGATCTAATGGTTTTCAAGAGACAGACTTTACTAAGACTTGACGGTCATGATTATTGGCATCCTAATCTAGTAACATCTTGTATTTATTGCTTGTCCGATATAAACTTATGCAGTATATTTCCTCTTTTCTTCCGAATTATTTGCTTAGTTGATAAGCAGTTAATTGGTTATCTAATATTTACAGAGAGGACATATATTGTTTTGGTAAAAAGTTTTAGAATGCTATTGTGGTTTTAATTTTTCCAATGTTGACTTGTAGCAAAATAAGTGAAGATTAGCACGGTTAATAAATTGACTGTTTTGTTGGTAGATGGTTGAAAAGGGCTTTGGAGCATTAGCAGTGATGGCTCAATCTTGGGAGAATTTTCTTTCCGAAGATCGTGAGCAGAACGAATCTAGTGAAAAGTGGGCATCCGGTCGAGCAGCTGTTGGTAGAGCATTTTCTGTGCTTTTGCAACAGGCTTGGCTATCACCCATGCATCCATTGGTTAGAGAACAAATAACTCTGCATTTATTATGTTAATCAGCTCTACTTTTTGGATTCCATATTGATAAATATTTTCCCCTTTATAAGAAGGGGAAACTTTCATTGAAAACAAAAGAAAAGATAAACTTTTTGGGTTTCTTATTAATTACTAATTGTTTCCTCAATGAGTGTGGTGTGGATCAGGAAGTTGAGGGTTCTAATCCATCTTGCATAGATGATGCATCAACTCTATTGCGGTCCACCATGCTATCTGTTACCGAAAGCAATGAAATTCAGGAGCTTAAGATATCTGAGTTATTATTAGTTTGGGCTGATATGGTTGCGGATTGGCATGCGTGGGAGGAGTCGGAGGATATGTCAGTCTTTGACTGCATTCAGGAAGTTGTTGATCTCCAAAAAAAATTGGGATTGAAAGAATTTATTGCAAGACCAGTGTCATCTCCTCCAACTCCCCCTGTGCCTGGACGTTCCATAATCGAAGGAGTTGGTGCTTTTGTAAGTGAAGCCATTCGACAATATCCATCTGCAACATGGAGGGCTTGCTCTTGTGTCCATATGCTTCTACATGTCCCCAGTTACTCAACTGAAACTGAGGACATAAAACAGTCATTGGCGATTACTTTTTCTAGGGCTGCATTTTCTCGTTTTAAAGAAATTCGGAGTAAACCTTGTCCACTCTGGAAGCCTCTGTTGCTTGCCATAACATCATGCTATTTGTGTTATCCTGAACTCGTAGAGAGAATATTGGACAAAGATGAAAATGGAGGCTTCACAATCTGGATCTCTGCATTGCAATATGTCTGTTCTAGTTCTTATGAACCCGGTCTGACAATGGAGTCTGAGATAAAATTGATAGGTAAGTAGCTCACTTCCTGGCTCATGTGAAACCTAAGTTAGTTTTCTTTATAACCATATCAAGTGATAAACTAAATTTCTGGCTGATTGCCTCTCAGAGTATTTGCTGCTATCTTGCATCTGTTGCTGCATTTCATAAAAACGAGTCACCTCTTTTTAAATAATAACTTTCTTTAATTGTTAGCGAGGCTAAAGGATACAACCCCTTTTGATTTTTTAGTTCATTTGATTTTTGACTTTGAGCTTCAGTTGAAAAGGTAGCTAATCATTGTACGTTGTACAATTAATTTGATAGAGGTTTCCTTTTTCTGTACTGTACCTTGGGACCGTTTCCACTTCCCTAAGTGGACTGCGGTTTTGAGATTTCTATGGGTTACTATTTTCCTCATTACTAGTTTCATGTTATCATCTAAATCTGTTGCAGTTGATTATAGAAACTATGGAAGACTATCAACAGTATGTTTAGAATAAACTGAAAGCTTAATTATGTAGAAAGCAAATTGTCTTTCCCTGAGACAATTGATCTACTATTCCACTGTCTGGCACAGAGTATTTTGGGCCCAAATATTTGAAACTTATGACATCCCTGATTGTTGGTTATGGTTCTTAGTGATGGCCCTGGTCAAGGTAATTGAACAGCTCTTGCAAGTAGGGAAACCGTGTGGGGGTCTGTATACTTTGTTGCTGGAGGCATCTGTTCGATTAAAAGAAATGCAAGAAGAGGACGATGTTGAAGAAGAGGCCGAAAGTGATGAGGACAATGATGATGAAACTGAAGACGATGAGGAGGTTTGACTAGAAATAAATTCATTTTAAAAATGCGTGTTTCTTTATAAATTACAAGAACCACCAAAAACAAGCCTAAAAAGCACAAAGTAGGCGGATGTATTTGTCAAGAGCTGACACCTTGAAACTGACACCTTGAATTCATTCCTAATTCTAGGTAACTTTGGCTAGAAATAGTTATGTAGTGTTTAACTCTAACGAGAATATACAAGACAAATGGAAAGTAAAAGTCACTGTTTTATTGGGATTTGGCTTTGCCCACTTTGCTTTATTGTCCCATGCAGCTGAATCTTGGAAAGTTAACTTTTCTTTAATCACAAATATTGATTTGTCTGTTGAAGGATTCTGACGCGGATGAACACGAAGAAACCGAAGAAGAGTTTCTCAATAGGTATGCCAAAGCAGCTGCTGCGTTGCAAGATGGTACAATTATTGAAGAGGGTGATGTAGAAGATCAAGATCATGTAATTGAATTGGGTAGGCCTCCTTTCTTGACGTTTTTTTTTTTTTTTTCTTCCATTAATTTTTTGTTTTCCTATCATAGTAACTTGAATTGAGTAGATCTTCTCATATTGTGTTACACGGTTACAGGTTGTTTGGAAGATATAGATCCTCAAAGAGTTGTGCAGTCACTATTGGAGAGATTTCACCGCGTTCTCCAACAAGGACAGACAGTTGAACCCCAGCTCATGTCAAGTTTTCTAGACGCCTTCCCTGAATATGACTTATTTTTTCAACATTCAATGTCCAATTGAGTGACAGATATTCTCATTATATTTCTGAAATTGATTTATAACTTTGCCTCCGTCAGGCATTATTTTGTGTATATAATTCGTCCAGATTCAAATGTTTCAATTAGTCTGCTTCATAACTCATATTGTGGGATTATTATATCATTGTTGAAAAGTTTGTCAAGACTCTTACCTGTAGAATTGTTTTTATTTATTCCACATTGTGCTTTAAGGGTTAAAATGAAGGCAAGCAAATGGCTATGAACTGATTGTGATTGAAGCAAATGAACAAACATCTAATATTTAGGAGACTGGGTCCACTTGCTCTGGCTTTAAGAGACAACCCTAAAGCCTGAAAGTCGAGGTATGGGGAGCCACTTGGTTTACGATTCCGTTTATTGTAATTTAATTATTTTTGAGAATTTTTTGATGTATTATTTTAAACAGTTTCGTATACTTTTTTTGTTACATTTTTATAAATTAATATGTAGAAACACGCAGTATTAGTTAGACTCTTTTACAATATAAAGAGCCTGATTTTTGTGCTTTTGTTTCTGTTTTGGTTTTTCTTTAACTTCGTTTCTCTTTCCTCTAAATTAATTAGGCGGTGGTTTTGTTTTGAACATTTTGACTTTCCTTGCAATTCCTGTTAGTTATGGCCGACGTCCGTATAGTTTCCTTTGCACTTGGCAGAATTGAGACGTTTGGTTCATATATTACAATGATTTTTGATTTACGTGTATTTTTTATGAGAAAAAATACTATAACGAACTATGAATTATGATTTAAATCGGGATATGAATCCCTCAACTAAACAACTAAATTTGCTGAAAGGATCTGATCCAATCTCCATATTTTCTTTCTTCTTTTCTGAGTTTGGCTTGGCTCATAGTCGGTCCCTCTCCCTTGCTTTACAATCATAGTATTTAATTCTGTTCCCACTTCATTGTTAAGTGGTTCTTACCAAAAGAAATAAAGCCAAGAAAATGGATTTCTCCCGTAGGCTTTTAGGACTTAATTTATGACTGTTGAATCTAGTTAAAATCATATTAAATTATAAAAATATGTAGAATAAACAGTTTTTAATGTTGATTTAACGGTTGAAAAAAATAAAAAACTATCAATAATTTATTTTTTTTGTCTTATTAAAATTTTTATTTTTCTAATTTTATTAGAGAAACTCTTAAAAAGAAAATGATGGAGAAAAAGACTTTGATAATTCGGATGTCCAAACATGCAAACTGTCCGCATGTGCAAACCACTCATCAATCATGCAAACGAGTCATTTTTATTTGAAAACCATTCTTATGTCTTGTTTATATGTTCTATCAGAACGAGGGTAAACAAAATAATAATAACAATATATTATTATTATCATTATTTTATAAATGTTGAAAAAGTAATAATAATAAGAGCAACAACAATAATAATCATTCATCACTGATAAAACTGTCAGTTTGTTAGCCATGTGGGTAGAATCAACCAGATTAAAAAAAATAAAAAGCAAAGAGCACCTATGATAATTACGGACAAGAGAAGTATTAAATATTCACAAATCACAAATTCAATGGAAGCAAAGGGGGATGCACTGTCACATTTCCTTGTGTGAAACACACAAAATTGTAGTTTTTCAGAGACATAAGACATTAAGAATATGCCAAAAGGATAAATATAAGCTCGCTTTGGAAAGAAACCATCAACGGGTTTTAAGTTCCTAACAAAATTGCGTGGCACAATAAAAAAAAAATGGTTGCATAAATTACCGCGCACAAGTTTAAATCATCATATCACATTAAAATTATAATAGAGTTAATAAAGTAAATAAATATGCTAGAGTTATTTAATAAATATATGATGCTCTAAAGACTATACACTTTTACTATACGATGATATGATGATTTAAAAGAACTCGTTAAATTTTTAACGGTATTTTGCACTTGTGTAAATTGTCAACTTTTCATTAATCTCGTTAATTTTGCATACTTTTTTATATTTCAATTTAATTTCTACCTCATCTAATATTTAGAATGACCTCGTAACAAAAAGATAGTCTATTATAAAAAGATCATTTTTAATCTCCAAAATGAAACAAGAATTGAGGGCTTTTAGGAGTTCAAGAGACGTGATTAGACTTTGACCTTGAAAGTTCCTTTCTTCTAATCTTTGCAAATATGGCCGTCCTTCATTATTTTACAAGTTATAACGCAATAAACTAGGAGGATCATGTGCCATTGAACCTATGCTTCCTTGAGGCACTCAATTTGGATAATATTAACATAACAATAACATGTTTCTTCGGAACGAGTGAATGTCACTGTCAAACTCATGATTAAAATCAACGGCATTACCTATCACCTCTACATTAATGTAGACTTTTTCTCAAAAAAAAAAAAAAATATATATATATATATATATAAACGAGTTTTTAAGGTTATCTTTACGTGAGTAATTTTATCCATTAAGCATGAAAAATTTTATGATAAGAATATCTTACTAATATATTTTTATTTTTCAAAACTAAGAGGTTATTTTTTTTTGTATTTTTGAGTTAGGGTGACTTGAGTGATGATCTTGAGTTGAGTTTGAGTTATAATTTGAGTTGAAGTTGTAACTTGAATTTGTATTTGGATGTAAACATTTGAGTTATGATTTGAATTGAGAATCTTTTTGAGTTTGTGTTTGGGTGAGTCAAAACTTAAATTTGTATTTAGATAGTATTTCAATAAAACTCAATGGTGATGAAAAATTTTAATAGGGTATATGAGTGGGGTTTTATTCGTCTTTTCGTTGTGAATGCATAAAAAAAATCATATCAATCAGAATTAAAACAAAAAAGTGATGGTATTTTTAAGAATAGAAAAAATATTGTTCATTAATTGAGTTCGAGTTTATGAACTCGAGTTGAAGGGAAAACTTGAACTCGAGTTTAACCTCAAACTCGAGTTCAAACTCGAATTTAAATTTTACAAAAAAACATGAACTTAATAAAGTTGTAACTCAAGTTCAAATTTTTTCTGAGTTTTGTTACAAAAGAACAACCCCTAAATTTGTACTAAATCCCGTTAGTTTTTTCTTTTTTTTTCCCCCTCAAGAGATTTTGCCAGTTTTGTGTATATATATTAATGTCATTTTAATCGGATGTAATAACATTTAGAAATATACATTATCCATAAAAACAAGTAATCTCAACTTGATCACACGTAGATTCATTTGTGTATGTAGTCATATTAATGATACAGTAAGCTTAAATTGTAGAAGGAAACACAAGGAAACCATTACATGATCAGGGGGGGAAATGGTTGGGTTTTGGAGGAGCATGTTAATATAATGATCAAATTTTTGGAGAGAGAGAGAGAGAGAGAGAGAGAGAGAGAGAGAGAGAGAAAACAAAGAGTGTAGAACTAAATAGTTATGTTTGGGTTTTGGGTATTATACTACTAGAGTCTGCACCAAGATATGGCTGTCTTGGTCAGTCTCCCTGATCCGTACCACTACATGTGGGCTTCACATGCATGTCTTTGAGGGGGTCATGCTTGGATAAAACCATATTAAACACGCCTTGTCTCATCCTCATGGTTCAAATGCATGCAAGTGATGTTTAATTAGTTGGGAATAAAATTACTTTCAAACCAAGCACTTTTCCAAAAAAAAAAAAAAAAAAACTTTGATATGTTTGGACATAAAATGTATTTTTTTAATGCCATTTTTCTAATTTTCATTTAAATGGTCCAAATTAACAAAAAAAAAAGAGAAAAAAAATATAAAAAGACGTTTGGTTCATGTATTAAAATCATGAGATTAAAATCATTTTTTATTTACGTGTATTTTTTGTGAGAGAAAACACTGTAACAAACTATGAACCATGATTCGAATCAGAGTACGAATCTCATTACCAAACGTCACATTAGTAAATATTACTCTTGTATCTAAATATCAAATAAACGATATTTTCCAGATTTTTTCCCAACTTTCGAAAAGATACAAGGGTATAAAGGAAATGAAACTTTAAGTACTAAAGTTTTTTTTTTTTTTGTTTTTTTGGAGGAAAAACACAAGGTAAGAGAATTTTGCCCATTTATTTTCATTATTGTATTTTAAAATAATCCCAATTCATCCTGACGGGCCCACTTATTTTGAAAGAAGCTCATTCCGCCTTATCATTTACTCATTTTTAAATGTTCATTATGTGCATTGTAATAATTTTGACCTTAAATTCTTAATTTGGTAGATTACTCCTTTTATTTTTGTAGATTTGGTCTTGAGACTAAAATTGACGAACAATATTAAATATTAAACATAAATAATGACATTCTTGTCTCTCGGAAATTTTACATAAATAATTACAGTAATGGCAAAATGTTGTATTTTAATTTCTAATAGATTTTAATATATAGTAGCAAAGAGAATATAACTCTTTGTGTACAATTTGAAATTATCACTATATCGATACATGATTATTTTGTTAAATTATAAAAATCCATCGTTAATGTAGTGTGTCAAAACATAAATGATCCAAAAAGCAATATACAAAACTAAAAATATGGGGACTAAAACAACTCTATTTTAGGAACTAGAGTGCTAATAACCTTTTTTTTAGAGCGATAGAGCTAAATGTCCGTTTTTTTAGAGATTTTTCTTTTTATAAATGACTGAAATTTTCTAAAATTAGTGAAATAACCGTTTTGTTTTATTAATTTATTGGTCATAACTGGGTGACTAATTTATGTTGATTGACTTAGCAGTAATAGCGGTCTATCACTGATTTTTAATTTATCACTAATTACCTTAGTGATTCTTCGATATTAATTAATATTAATTATTAATGAACTAAAATTAATTAATAATTAATCAATTGATTCATTATTAGCTCTTTCTTTCATGATTCATGAGGTGCCAATCGCTATTGTTAGCACGGTTTAAGAAAAAAGAAAGCCTTAGTACAAGTACCATATACAGTTGAATAATTTCCCTTCAAAAAATAATATATATATATATATATGTATATGTATACAATTGAATACATTCTTAAAAAAAATTCAAAAAAAAGAAAAAAATAAATAAAACTACTATAGAGTCCACAAGCAGCCACGAGACATGACCATGAGACTTGAGAGGCGCACATATGTCTTATGCGGAACAAAAAGCTATTGGAGCCTGTTTACTTGTCCTTAAATGGAAAATTTAATTTGGTCAAGAGTATTTCTTTTCGAGAATACTCATAATACCTTTTATATTTCGTAATGAGTATCATCTTTACTTTTTTATTATATAAATGCTCAAAATATATTATGTGTTTATAAAATCAGATTTAGAACTTAAAAAAAAAAAAAAAAATCAGATTTGGAATACTTTAAATTTTTTAAAATACTAAGATTACCCTCCTCAATCTTTATTAAATACAATCCTTTATTAAAGGGTTGTATTTAATAATAACAAGCCTTTATTAAATACAATAAATAAATCAATTTAAAAGTTTTTGAAAATCTCTTAAAATAATTAAATTATTTGCTTGATTGAAATAATTATTTGAATATCTTAAAACTTTTTAGATTAATATTTTTAATTAATATTTTTTTAATTGTAAACTTCCAAAGCCCGTCCCCGCATAGTCTAAGTCCCTCTCTCATATTTAAAATAATATTTAAATAATTGAGAATGCTTTTTGTTAGTATTTTTAGAAATTTAATTGTTTCAGTGAGTATTTTGATTCTGATTATAGACCATCTAAGGGGATTTTTGTGTATTTTTTTCCTTCGACAAATTAGAAGAATTATAAGAAGCAATTCATTACCAAAAAAAAAAAAAAAGAGTGATCAGATGATCACAAAAATTTCCTTTTGCTTTATTTTTTTTATGTTGTTTTCTTAGTGGTGTTTTAGGAATAGAAAAAAAAAACAAAAGAAAAAAATAACAGACCGCCCACGTTAGTAAGAAAAAGAATCATATCCTAAACTTCGCTCATGTTATTCTCCCATATTCTGAAAAATGTGAATTTTCCATTGAAATCCATGTCCTTGAAATTTTTAGGGCTCGTTTAGTAAAAGTTTTTATTTTTATTTTTTTTTTATAAGCCATTTAAATGAGAGAAGCAAAACTAAAAATATTAGAATAATTATAATATATTATTGAAAATCTTATACAAGTGTACCTAGAAGAGTTTTTTTTAATACCTAAAAAGTGCATGTACAAACATTTTTTTAATACCTAGTTTTTTGCTATCATAAAAAAATTATACCCTATATTTTAGATTGTTATATATGTTTACCATCTATTTATAAAAAAATGCTCAATCCTTATATGATCTCTAGGTCAAGGAAGTACTTTGATCAAGAAAATTCCTTTTAGTTCCCATACTACCCTTACCACTTCACAATTTTTTGTACACTTTAGTTTAAGGGCGCCGAAAAATCATATCCTATATTTTGGATCGTTACACGTTCATATCTTTGATTTTTCATTCATGTCAATCCTTACACTTTCTCAGTCAATGTTCAACTTTCACTACGAAGAAAGACAAAATATCATTAAAGAAAAAATTTTAATTACAAACCCTGAAATTATTTATCAAATTTAGATACCTTATAGATGTGGGAATACTTGTCAATATCTAATTAGCTAAATAAGGTCTACATATTAATTCAAATATCATTTGTTATCACACGACTTAGTAATTAATTAGTATTCAAAATTTGGTAAACAACTTTGTACATGCAGAATTATTTTGAGGAAACAGTCTACCACTCACAACAAATAAATGTTTCATAAATCCAATCAAGGTTTTTAATGGAAATGAATGTTTATTATACTCCTCATTTCTTTGTACAATATTTTATTTAATTTGGGGTGGAGAGATTTGAACTTCACATCTTAAGGTTTCATTTTTCTTTTTTGTATGTGCTTATTCTTTGTATGCGAATTATTGATTTGCTTCCTAAAGTTTATTTACCAACTATAAAGTGAAAAAAAAGAAAATAATTCACTTCTTGATCTGTAGTGTTACTAAACTAAGTAATAGGAAGCTTATCAATGTAATTACTAAAATATCTTTTAATATAATTTAACCTATTTCCTCTATTATATGGGATCTCACTAAATTTTAACTACTGATTTTATAAGAACTATTCTTCCATTCTCTTCTCCCTTTCATGTGAGGTAAAAACACCCCACAAAGATAGGTATATATATATGTATATAGTCGCATCACATTTAGCGGTCCATGCTGGTGAAAGGTCAATTTCCTAAATAAATTGGCGTGTGGACAATATTCATTTTTTTAATGGTGTAAACATTTTTATGTATAAAAAAAGGGAGAAATGGGCAGAATGTCGTATTAATAAATAAAGAGAGTTGTATAATATCACACACACACACACAAAACCAGTAATGTACTTATTTTCATCAAGTTCCATAAATTTTGTATTTTTTTAATTATGATATGTTTAATGCGCGACTACACATAATATTGATAGAAATCCACTGCCATATACTAAGTAAGATCTTTTTTTTTTGGTCGAATATTTAAAAAAAAATTCTACCGGTAATAATCTATCTTGAATAACAAATTTCCATTAAATTTTGAGACTTTGCAAAAATGTGCACTATCAATAAAGATAGGAGCAATAAAAAGGCATTTGTAAAAAATAACTCAATAGGAAAATTTTATTAGTAAAATAACTTCTTAAAAATTTTTATTTGTAAAATGATTACAAAACAATATAACTTTTTACAAAGAATGACTGGCTGGTCGTTCTTCATAAAAAATAAAAAAGGTCATTTTGTCAATTTTATTTTGTTGGATAATTATTCTAGCATATTTCTCTAAATAAAAGACGTCACATTCAGAGAAGTAAAAGGAATTCACGTGTAGAGAGGGGTTGTTTGGGAGCGTGGACCATGTGCTTGGGTTCAGTCGGCGACTTCTTTGAAGATAAGAAAATTAAAAAGGAGTGATCGATGTTCCTCTCATCTTAGGCTCATCTCACGGATCTTGCCTCTCTTCTCTCTCTATTATTATTATTATTATTATTATTTTATTTTATTTTAATATGATTTGTTTATATACATTCACACGATACAGCACAAACATGTACATCCTATATATGTATAATGTACTATATATGAGGCCAAAGGTTCAGTTTCTGGAGTCTTGTTGTAGAGTTGGAGGACATTGTATCATTGAGTTCTTATTCTCTTCAGAAAAAGCACTAAATATTACTACTATCGTACATATATATATATATATCACATACAATATGACCACTTGGAAAAAGACCATTGCATCTCCATTCAAGAAGGCTTGCACTTTCTTCAACCAACAACCCAGGGAACCTAATAAGAAGTCTCAGCAAGGTATGCGTGTATATAATGGTGTATTATATATATATATATATATAAATGTATATATATTGAAGGTTTTAAACACATTGCAGGAAATGGGAGCAGCGTGATGGATCTGCAAGGAGAAGTGATGGCATGCGCTTATGAAGATGTTCAAGTGATGTGGTCTATTCTTGACAAGTCCAAGTCCACACCTTCCAAGATCACTTCTTGATAATCAAACCCACCAAAAAAAAATATAATAATAATTTCAGAAGAAAAAACCCAAAAAAAAAAAAAGAAACAAAAGTTGCTCATGTTTGCAGGGAATCATACTAGTTTATTTGGATCTGATATGCATCTGTGTTACTCATTTGTAGATATTAATGTTGTTTTGGGACAATGATCCTGAATTTGTTCAAGTGGGAAGACCAAGAAAAAGGTGGAATTGAAGGTTGCCCCAAATAGGTCTCATGGTCATTTTTTTTTTCCAGTCAAGATTTTAAGCTATAGGGAATCCCTGTGATTAAATGAAAAATCACGGCGAGATTATTAATGGGATTGAGAATTTTATTTCTTATCACTTGTCACACTTTCTAATTTTCATTCAATTTGATTCTTGTGTATGATCTATTCAGTTTCACAACAGAAATTTGTTCATATAGAGATGGCCTAGGGATGATGGAAGAGGAAGAAATGCAAGGAAAAGGTGCCTAATTCCCAATCCCCACAAAAACTTGCATGAATTGCACATGACTAAAAGCTTATGAGCAATGAGTATGGTTTTGGATAGGCTGATGAGTTGACTTTTAGAACTTTGTCCAAACAAGTATATGGTTGTATGTACATTGCTTGTTCTTTTTCTGAGAATAAGAAAAAGGGAAGAAGAAAAAAATCCGGGGAAATTGGAATTTTGAAAAGATAACCAACCTAGCTAAAGAAATTAGACTATCTTACAAAGAAATTAAGAAGATTTCAATTTTGTTTTTGCATAGAGCTAGAGAGAGCGAGAGTTAAAGTTGAAGACATGAAAAGGAGAGGAGAGAGAGTTGCTATAGAGAGAGAGAGAGAGAGAGTTGCTGTGCTTATGAATATCCCAAAAAGGTTGTCATTTCAAGTTCAAGTTGAAGACAAGAAAAGGATGGACCATGAATCACGATGGTCCCTTAAAGAGCCACAACAACTTAGTAGGTGTTTGGTATGAAAATTCGTGTCATGGTTCGAATCATAGTTCGTGACTCGTTATAGTGTTTTCTCTCACAAAAAATATACATAAATCGAGAATAATTCTGAATCGTAATTTTGAATCCGTGAACCAAACGTCCACTAAGAGCATACTTCTCCTATACGTAGGGCAAAGGGCCTCACCAATCATTCACTTGATCTCCAATATGCATATCCTCTTCCTGCTCAAACATTTATTTTAACCTGATTTGACTATTAGTCTTATCTAGATGGATACCACAAGGCTAAACCTTCAATTATTTTTGCTGGTACTATGTTTAATAGAGCTGGCAAAGCACAAGGAGACGAAATAAGTTGTAGAGATTATGGAGAAGAAGAGAGAAAGTTGGACTTGGAATAAAGAGGATATCAAGGAAAAAGAAATCGGAGGACTAACCATTTTTTAAACCTTCTAACTTAAAAAAAAAAAAAAAAAAAAAAAAAAAAAAAAAAAAAAAAAAAAAAAAAAAAAAAAAAAAACGAAAGAAAATATTGCACAAATCACATGAGCTCTAGAACGACTGTTTTGGCCTTGATCATAACTCGTTCCCTCGTTAATATACATAAGGGCATAGTAGTAATCTAAACTTGTATAAACCTTTCTTTTCCCCCTTTTTATATGGGCTTTATTAAAGGAAACTGCCACAAATTTTAGAATTGAATTGACGTAAGACAAGGGACTAAACTATTGCAGAAAATGCTATAGTCACGTCATCATATTATATTTAAAATACTAAATATATCTTTAGGATACCGGTAGATATCCGGCTACGATACATGTCAATATCCAACCACAATAGTTTTAGACCTGTTGGCAATTGTTGATCCCCATCAGTCTATTGTGGTATAATGCGTAGATATGTCTTTTATATATACTAGTTTTGTAACGTGATCTGCACGTATTACCGTATTATAAACATCTGAATAGTGTGTTACTAAATAATGAGAAATTCATTTATACACCATTTAAAGATTTTAAAATTAATTTTAAAAATGAATGTGTAAAGATAACAAATGATTAAAAAAAAATAAGTAAGGACACATTTGAAGAAAATTATTTTAACCAACCAAAAGTAAAATAAGAACACACGAAAAAAAATTACTCTCATAGCAGTAAAGTGAGAAACAATGTATTTTTTAAAAACACAAAAAAATTAAAATGTAAAAAAAATTCCCAAAAAATGAAGATAAAAAAGTAGAAAAAAGAAAACGAAAACAGAGCTAAGCGGAGGGACTGCCACATGACAGTCCCATAGAAAAAAGCTTTGACTCTTTTATGTATTATTAGTTTTAAAAAACACAACAAATTAAAATGTAACAAAAAATCACACAAAAAAAAATGAAGATAAAAAAAGGAAAAACAAAAGGAAAAAAAGGAACTAAGTGAAGAAATTGCTATGTGACAACCCATAAAAAATTACTTTTGACTCTTTTATGTATTGTTAGATAATAGAATAAAAACATATGTTTTCAACTAAAAAGTTTCAAAACATACCATAATAAAACTTCCAGCACTCCCAGTCCTTCCTCTTTTTATTCTATATTGGTTTTTTTTTCCTCCTCCCTACCTTTCTATTTTCCATTGATCATTCTAACTATAACCTTAAAAAAATCTCTATAAAAGGCTGAGCTGCTATGAATTCCCACTTTATTTTATCGTTTTAGCCCTTGAGTATTAAAATCTAAGAAAATTTTTAAAAATACTCCTTGAATTAGAGTCCATTTTATTTCTATCCTTTAAATATTAGCTCATACATTTTTACTTTTTAGACTGAAACTAGTCAATGAGTAATATTTTTTAAAAAGAGGTACATTTAGAAAGTTAAGTACTTAAAAAAGTAACATCTGTAATTTTCTCCAAAAATCTTGGATCAATTCGGACCATTGGTTATGCTCTAATGAGGTGCAAACTCATTTAAGCCCACAAGGGGCCACTCAATTGTTAATCGGTTTGAACACAAATGTCGTTTACACGAGGAGATGTAGAGCCCCCAAAAAAGGTTATATTACATGTTTTTCCCCAGATTTATATGTCTTGTCACAAAATGTCCCTAAACTTTAATTTTAGATTTCCTCCTCCCTTCCCCAAACCTCAGCAACTCTTGTAAATTTTCTCCCATTCATGAACCTCTAAGATTCTTTGGGTCAAGTAAATTAAAATAAAGTTGATGTAGTAAACAAGAGAACAACTCCTACTGCATAATTACATTTCTGTGACTAAACAAGAAACTAACAGAATAATCGTATACTAAAAATAGTTCAACGATACTCATTATTTGTACAATACGTGTTATTTCTATTAAAAATCTAGAGTTTTTTTTTATTTTTTTTTATTTTTTACATTTCACATGACATTTTCCGCTAAAAAATTTAGTTGAGGAGAAAATTTTCAAGCGTTCTTGAAATTTTAGAAGGAAAAAAAAGCTAAAATTAAAGTTCCGGAGTCATTTTGTGAGAGTCTATAGCTCGGGGGAAAACATGAAATGTCCAAAAAAGAAAGTCCTAAAGGGTTTTGAACGCTTCTTCAGTTTACAGATCTTGCAGTAAGAAGAACAAAGGGAGTAGTACAACCAAAATTTCACGTTGAACTTTGTTGGAAGAGGATGCTACCATTTTCAAAGCACATTAGAAGAACTGAAAGGTCAAGACAGTACAATATACAAGCTATGCAAAATTGTTTAACAAGGTCACTGCAGTCAATCTAGTTTCCCTAGCCAGTAAGGGGAATTTACCTAAACATTTTGAAATATGCCTAAATCCGCATTATAGTCACCGAGCATTCCTCTCCTCTCTGGCTTCAAGGGCATCCACCTCCTCGTTGGATAGAACATCGACAATTGGTTCATAAATGTCCCATTCTTTTCTCTTCCTGACATTTGAGAATAAGAAGCAAACCATTGTAAGTATCTAAATCCTAATTTGCCGCGGTCGATCCTCAAGCAAAAAGTTTTACTCAAATTGTCCAAACGTATAAAGTAAAAGATATTATTGACGAGAAAGTTTTATTTTGTAAGCATCTAGCTCAGACAAGTCACAACCAGCAAGGAAAATCAAACAAAAATGCAAAAGATAGTATGGTGTATTCGAGGACTCTGAAGAACTCCCACGCTAAGCCTAAGGACCCAAACAGACAACAATTCCAAATTCAGCATAATGCCTACCCGCTAGCCTAGCCAACACTAATAACCCTATCTGATCCTCTCCTTTCCAGCTCAACCACACACAAAAATAACCACCTTTTATTCAAATTACACTTAAGACCCCAGCCCCTTTTCTCTCTGCTCATTTTTGCCCCTCATAGCATTCATCTTTCTAAAAGCTGGTATCTAACAGCTTATTACCCTGTTTCTAAAAAATTCCATACTCCAAGGTAAATCAAATTAAGAGAGTTGATTTGATATGGTGATATCAGAAGTGACTCTTGTACATGGAGTGGAAATATTCATTCTTTTGCCGTAAAAGTCAGCAACAAGCACAATAGAAGAAAACAATTATAAGACTTTTATCCTTCTAGCGTTGGAGGGTCCCTAACTTATGTCATGAAAGTTCAGGTCTCTATAAGGTTCCATTTAGAATGAAAGACCGAAAGGAGCAGTGAAACTTCAGGGCTTTTCTGGTGCAATGTTTGTCGCATGGCAAAATGCCGGCACAATACCATTGGAGGTATATATACTTGGCGGGAAAAAGGCCTTAGCACAGGTATTGACTAAAGAAAGTGGTCAAACCTTCAAATCAAATCATAGGGAGAGTGACGTCTCTACAAATGTTTAGTAACTAATTTGTTACATGCTTCAGAAATGATGAAACTCTTCTATAGTTAGTAATATAGGCAGACATACCGAACCACACTGGATCTATGACCAAATAACTTCACGAGGTCCACTGCAGTACTGCCTGCTTTACTGAGAGAAATTCATATCGTGTTAGTCACATACTCGCATCCATTTTCCTGTAAATTTTACCGTTAAGATACAAATACAACCTGGCTGGTGTATGGTCGACACCTCGACGACCCTTCTTGCTTATTCTGCTTTCTCTAGCTGAAGCTACGCTTTGAATTGCAATCTAGAACATGACGTATAATAAAGACTTAACTCGAACAACACAAAGATGTAAAAGTACAACATAACAAAAAGTAAGAATTGAAACCCTAGCTACCATACATATCCACTTAAAAATCAAGAAAACAGCACAAAATAGCATGAAAGGTCAATGGATTCTAACCTCATATAATTGTTCTCTGATTGCAAAAGCAATTGCAGGCTGAAAAAAAGAAAAAAGAAAAATGCTTTTATATTAGATTCCAGAATGTTCCGAAAGGGTCCAAACAAGACCAAGAAGAAGATAGACAGGCAGTATGAAAAGCAAATTTTAAGAATCCAAAGTCCTCATTCATGAAGACATTCCTACACTCCAGAAAACAATTTTTCCCTTTCGATCCCTTTATGTCAAAATCACTTTCGAGCTTGGATTCTAACATGCTAAGGCCATCCTGTCCTTGGAAGCAGAAGGCACATAGCGACTCGTTGGGGAGAAGAAGAATTTCAATTTAGTATGAAGTATGAACCTCACATGCGAAATGCAGAAGAAGCAGAAAACTTTGTTAGTCTGTATGCTAATGAGTGCAGTATGATGGCTACTACTTACAGCAACTTCAGGGTCTTCAATGCCTAAATCTTTGCAGAAGGTTTTAGCAAACTCTTCGGGATCACTCTCGAAGTTGTTCATGTCCTAGAAATCCATCGAAGCACGATTCTCAGACCAGGAAGCCAATGTTTCAAAGGAGGGAATGTGCAAAATAAAAAGAGCTAAGAATGTGCATATCAGAGGCATTACACATAATAATTAACCTTCCAGCTTACCCACAAAAATTGGTCCCTTATGAGAGTATGCTTTACACGGAGATCGAGCTGAGAAAAAAGGCAAGGGTACTCTTGTTAACACCTCAGCATTCAGGTAAGTTAGAGAAAATTCATTAGAACATTTAAGAGGGATGGACCTTAATAGGGACTATTTTCTCTCCAGCATACATCTCTTGTCCTTCAAATGACCGAAATTCGGCCAACTGAGACTGATTACGGAAATTCAACAAAATAAAACGCCCGCAAAAATAAAACAACAAAAGAAAGGACACAAAAGATTATCCTATTGTGCAGGAGTTTATTATAAACACTGGCAATCAGGCAGTTGCAATGGGAAACTACTCAATTACATATTAAAAAAAAAAAAAAAGTAACTACCGAATCCATTACAGCCAGTCACACTAGAATTTGGAACTAAAATTTCACTACACTTCACCACCCCCCAAACCCCCAAAGAAGAAAAATCCACACACAAAAAAGGAAAAGGATCATTCAAAGTGAGACCATCATTTAAAAAAAAAAAAAGGGATCATTCTATTATGAAGTTATTATAAGCCCTGGTAACCAGTTTCAATGGGAAACCAGTCTAATTCTTATTACTTCAAAAAAAAAATTTAATAATAGAATTTTCCTCAAGAAAAAACGTCCCTTCTCATGGCGGGGGAAAAAAAAAACCCCCCATTTACATATACACAAAAGAAAACAAGAAGGTAAAGGAGGGAAGTGGGAGTTGGGTTGCCTGAATGGAGGAAGCAATGTGAGTGATGAATACAGGTGGGAGCTTCAAGTCTTTCACAGTTCTTTTGGCAAACACCACTATTTCAGAATCAGGATCTATCATTCAAAAAAATTCCAAAAACACCAAAATTCACAACCCTTTACACTAAAAGAAAATTTAGAAAAAAAGGACAAAATATGATGAGAAAAAAATAGTTTATATTAAGGCGATAAAAATACCAGAAGGGTTCCAAGTGAAAGCGTCTTTGAACCTGTGGCCATCCACTTCGATGTCCAATCTTATTGGAACTAAATTCTCCGCTGTTGGGCTGCCGTGAATTTTTTATTCAAAATCAGTCCCAATTCCCAAAATTTCTAAAAATAAAAAAAAAAAATTGAAAAAAAACTTACATTCTGAACTTCACGGCTGAGCCCCTCCATGAAGCTGAAGCCTGCCCTTTCATTATTGCTTAATTTTCTTCGTTTTGCTTTGCTTTTTAGACTAGGAAAAGTTTCAGCTTTTTTTTTAAGCTTTTTTTTATTTTTCTATTTTTTTTTTTGGGCTAGAAATTTTTCTTTTTCTAGTCGGCAAATGAAGAATTTTTCATTCCTGATCCCACCTTTTTCTTAATCCTAAGCTTGTCGTATTACCATTCGTTGCTTACCGCATGTCTTTTTTGTTTTTGTTTTTGTTTTTTTTTTTTTTGCTCTCTCTTTTTCCGTGTTTATTATAAAAACTAAAAACTAATAAAAAGAGGACGTCGTTTGATGAAAAAAAAATTCTAAAATGATTTTGTTTTTCTTAATCCTAAGCTTGTCGTATTACCATTCGTTGCTTAATGCTTACGGCATTTCACTTGCTTTTATTTATTATTAAAACAAAAGAGCGAAAAGAGTTTTTGGGTTCGTTTAGAAATCGTTCTAAAATGATTTTATTTTTTTTATAAAAATAAAAATGAAAAAAATTTTTAATCTCAGATAGAAATTATTTTTAAAAATGTGTTTGATAGTTTTATCAAGATATTATTTTCAGTATAAAAAAATCCATTAATGTCTTTCTCTCTCTCTGCTCGAGAGAGGAGAAAACAAAAATAAAAAATGAAAAACAACTAAAAGTCATTTTTTCATTTCTTTCCCATTTTACACTAAACCAAAAAATCATTTTCATTTTCGTTTTTTGTCTTTAATTTTGCCAAATGCTGTTTTAAAATCGTTTTCATTTTTTTTTTGAAAAACGTGAAAAATAAAAACAAGAATAATTCCAAACACGACATTTAAGAGTGCTTCTCTTTTGTCACATATCAGTCTTATCTTTTTTATCTTTTGTTTTTTGTTTTTTCTAATATCACATAGAGATGAAACAATGGGCCGGCCCAGGCCCGTCCTGACATAGTGACGGGCCGGACCAGCACTGTTCAAGGCATGACTTAGTCCATAAATATTGGTAGGCTAGGCTGGACCAATATATATCAGCCTATGGGCCGGCCCAAAAAAAATCATAGGCTAGGCTGGGGCATCTAGGCCCATGATGGACCAGCCCAGCTCAGCCCGTCTAGGCCCATAATGGGCCGGCCCAGCCCGGGCCATCTAGGCCCATAATATCCTCATGTTTTTTTTTCTTTTTTTTAGTAATTTTGTAAACATCTATGAATAATTATCTTGATTGTACTCTTTTTTTCTTACTAAGATTTTATCCCACTAGGTTTTCCTTAAAAAGGTTTTTATTTAATGAAACCATTGTAAATAAAATATCCATTTTCATATTTACATTGACTATTCAAATTTTTATGTTAACTTGTTAAAAAATTTTAAAATAAAAAAAATAAAAAATTACATACTTAGATGAGGTGACCCATCTAAACCCATGATGAGCCAAGATGATGGTACGGTCAATCCTGACCCATGTCACGGCCCAACCTAACCCACATAAAATTAGCCCGTGATGTGGGCTGGGCCAATATAATTCTTATACTGACATGCCCAATCAGGCCCACAAAATTTGTGAGCTAGGCCAGCCCAACCCATGACCTGTGTGGGCCTAAGAAGAACGGACTGAGCCAGGTCGGGCCGGGTGTTCTTACATCTCTAATATCACATACATCTTTAGTTTTGTTGCGTTCTTTTAGAATTTAGTCTTTCTTTTAATGATATTTAAAGAGAGAAAAGTAAGGATAAAATCTGTGTTTAAAAAGTGAGATTTCCGGAAATAGTTTCTGAAATTACATTTGCTCTTTTTGAAATTTCATCTACTAAATTTGTCTTTGTTTGCTTTTAGGGCACAAATACAAGATTGCTTGCTTTCAAACGATGATGAAACTTAATTTTTGTTGCTTAATATTTTCAAAGCTTTTGTGTTCTAAATTATTCATATCTGAGTGCAGTCGCTACATTTCGCTTGGGGCCTGTTTTCAGAGAAGATTCAAGATTCTTGTTCCCACGAGCCAATTGTGATCACTGCTTGCCTACGGAAACTTTTCCGATTCGTTTAATTATAATGTTGTATGACAATACTAGACTTGCTAGTCCTGTTTACAGATTTAAATGAGAAAAAGAAATATGCGCTCATTTCTTTTTCTTTTTTTCTTTAATGTTTACTTTTTTTTACCTTTGTTCAAATGCTACCCTACGTTATAATCTTTTCACAATGTATTTTGATTTTTCTCTCACTTCACTTTTATTAAGTTTTTTACATTTGTCCTTACAAAGTTTTATTTGCTCTTTTTTTTTGAATGATACTCTATAATTTATTCTTTTTACAATCTATTTTGATTTTTTTCTGGCTTTTCTTTGTTTGAAATATATATATATATATATATATATATAAAAGCGAAATAGAAACGTACAAGATGAATATTATTAACTAAAAATTTCAACGGAAATATAAATTGTTATAACCAAATTCAACATCAAAAGAAAGACAGATTTTGAACTTTTACATTGAGGCCTATAGTAGTCACAGTTTCTTTAAAATAGTTTTGCCCCATCTACGGGTGTTTGAGTTTTGTGCAAGCGCCTATTTTCGAGGATACAACGACGTTGAGTATATCTTCAGTATGGAAGAACCACTTCAGCGAGCTCTAACTGCACATTCACTCTTTCACTAGAACACCTAAAACACTCTAAGAATATAAATGCGAGCAAAAGAGGAGCAAAGGTTTATTTGAGTGTGTGTGTGTGTTTGCAAATGACTGAGGAGGCCTCCTTATATAGGCTGCTACATGGGATGTTACAAGGCTGGTGTAATGGTGAATTAATCTGAATTTATTCCTAAAATAATGAAAATTCAATTAAGAAGTTAAAAACCCCTCCACATCTAGATGAACTTGTTCCAAGGTATGTCCACATTCTAAAAACGTGCAGTAGTTTCATGCTCATAAACCCAGAGTTACTTACTGGTTAATGCTGCAGTTTTCTAAATCATAAACCCTACACTAATGCAGAGTTATAAACTTGCACTAATGCAACAGTTTCTTACAAATATGAATTTAAAAATAAATTCCAGATTTAAGTTGAAAAATACAAAAAGAAAAATTGAATAACAAAGCCTGCGCAAGGACAAGCCTATGTGGCAGCGTACATTAGAGCTTTGTGTGTGTGTGTGTGTTTACAAATGACTGAGGAGGCCTCCTTATATAGGCTATTGTAGGGGATGTTACAAGGCTGGAGTAATGGTGAATTAATCCAAATTTATTCCCAAAATATTGGAAATTCAATTCAAGGTTACAAACCCATGCATATCTAGGTGAACTTGCTCCAAGGTATGTCCACATTCTAAAAACGTTCAGTAGTTTCATGCTTTTAGAGTTACTTACTGTTTAATGTTGCAGTTTTCTGAATCATAAACCTTGCACTAATGTAGAGTTATAAACTTGCACTAATGCAGTAATTTCTTACAAATCTGAATTTAAAAATAAAATCCAGATTTAAGTTGAAAAATATAAAAAGAAAAATTACATAACAAAGCCTGCGCAAGGACAAGCATGTGCGGGTGCATACATTGGAGCTTTTGTGTGTGTGTGTGTGTGTGTTTACAAACGACTGAGGAGGCCTACTTATATAGGCTACTGCAGGGGATGTTACAAGGCTGGAGTAATGGTGAACTAATCAGAATTTATTCCCAAAATAATGAAAATTCAATTCAAAAGTTTAAAACCCCTGCACATCTAGATGAACTTGCTCCAAAGTATGTCCACATTCTAAAAACATGCAGTAGTTTCATGCAGTTTTCTGAATCATAAACCCTGCACTAATGCATAGTTATAAACTTGCACTAATGTAGTAGTTTCTTACAAATATGAATTTAAAAATAAATTCCATATTTAAGTTGCATAACAAAACCTGCGTAAGGACAAGTCTGTGCGGGTGCATACATTGGAGGTTTAACCCACCAGCCTAATGATTCGCACCCCTTGCGCATGAGAGAGCATCTTGGATGCACATTCTTATCGAAACTTGTGGGTACAACCTCTTATAAACTTCAACAAGCTTTAGTCTCTTTCCCATGTGGGACTCTTATCCAACTTTCTAATAGGCATACTAGAGTATCAATTTCTCATTCAATTTCTCCAACATTCTTTTATTAAAACATTTTTTTTAAGCAAAAATAATTTTTTGATTTTCTTTCACTTTGCTGTTATTATTATTATTGGAGAAATCAATAATAATAATAAAAAAAATAAACAAAAATTTCCTTCATAATCACAGACCATATCAGATCTATGGGTTGGGAGAAATTATGAACAAATGATCCAAAAATCAGAAAAAAGAACCAATTAAAGACCTGGAGGAGGGCCATACCTCAGTTGATTTGGAGGAGGAGGGCCGGATATTCGCCGATCAAGAAAAAACCTTCCACAGTTGGATGATGAGATCAGGCGATGAGAAGAGATGAAGAGATTAGATTAGGCGATTTGGATTCAAGATGAGAGGAGATGAGCTCAGAACATCAAATGTGGAGTAAAGATGAGAAGGAGATCAACGATTTTGGAGAGGAGTTGAAGGAAATAAGGAGGAAAAAATGAAAATAAGAAAATGAAAACGATAAAAATTCGTTTTTAGAAACTTGAGATAAAAGAAGAAATGAAAATAAGTGTTCTTAGTTTTGCTTTTTAAAAAATGGGTCTCCAAACGTAATCTTGAAAACATTTTCCCTTTTTGCTCGTCAAAAAATGTTTTTAAAAACGGAAACAAACACGCTCTTAGTTTCATGTTTTCGGATTATTAGAGAATGAGAAATTATTTTTTATTTTCTTTCACTTGCTTTTATTTATTATTAAAATAAAAGAGCCAAAAGAGCTTTTGAGAGTACTTATCTTTTTGTCACACGTCAGTCGTATTTTTTTATCTTTTGTTTTTTTTTTTTCTAATATCCATTTTTGATTTTCTTTCACTTGCTTTTATTTATTATTAAAATAAAAGAGCCAAAAGAGCTTTTGAGAGTACTTATCTTTTTGTCAGACGTCAGTCGTTTTTTTTTTATCTTTTGTTTTTTTTTTCTAATATCCAATTTCTTTTTCCTTTTTTTCTTTAATGTTTACTTTTTTTTTTC